TTTCAAGCTGGACCGTGACACTCGACCGGAATCTTCAGATCGCTAGACACTTCAATGACGATCTTGCTGTTAGATGAAAGCAGATGATTTTATGAAAAAGAGGTCGGCATACCCATGATGGCCCACAATCGCCTCGTGACCATTTTCCTTCGCAAACTCGAATACTACGAAGGAATCCTCTTTCTCACAACCAACCGTCTGGTGGAGTTCGATGAAGCGATCCTAAGCCGAATTCAATTGAAGTGAAGTACGAAGGTTTGACAAAGGAGTCCCGAAGAGAGATCTGGACATATTTTCTCTCAAAGGCGTCTACAGACAAAGGACCCCCTGTCGTTGAAGGTCGCGACCTCAACCTTTTGGAATCAACGGTTCTGAATGGCCGAGATGTGAGTTTCAAAAAATACCCGCGCAATGATTTCTTCTCACGCGATTTCAAACTAGATTAAAAATCTCACGTCCATCGCCCATGCGTTGGCTACGGTCGAGGAAACGCAGGTGGCATACAAACATTTGGAATTAGCCGCGAAGTCGAACGACAAATTCGTCGACGAGTTCAACAACTACGGTCGGGCGGATGGATTGTACACATAGAGCGGGAAGTTAACAAGGTTGAGGCAGCGAGATATTCGATCGTGACTGCATTGGTGCGGGTGCCGCAGAAAATATAAACCCATACCCACCGTGGGAGGCCGGTTTTTACGGATCTCCCGGACTGATGTTCTCCTTCCTCTTCATATTTTCTCTCGGTAATCGCATCTGGTGATGACGCTGCCGGTTATAACGCTGATTCTTGATGGGTCGCTTTGCCCACCTGGTGCAGGGCATGCGCCACTGGATTTTCTGTAGTACATGCGTCATTTTTTGTCTTCCTCGTTGGAACGTTCAATAATTTATGAAATCAGTTAGTTATGTAAAATCTCATCTTCTATCCATACACAAACGGGGAAGTGTGGAGGGCGTACTGTAGATGTCATATGAATCTCTCCTCTGTTCGTAGACCCCGAGCCGGCCCCGAGCCGTCCCCTAGCTCAGCCAACGTATCTTGTAAACGGTGCGGTCTCTCACGATCGCTCCAAATCCATCTCCAGGGGGGAACATTAGCATAGACTAGAGGGTCTGAAGATATATAAAGCCAGCCCTCCTCCCACTTTGCTTCCATCCCTCGATCTTCCCTTTTCTCCTCGTAAAGTACCGCAGGTTTCTCTATGGCGCCCATGACTCAACACTTAGCCCAAAACAAACCAATGGCACCTGACGTCCAGACCGATAGCTCCGATGCACGCCAAATTCTACCCAAGAAGAAGCCACAGTGGTCCTCAGAAGAAGATGTCCACATCATCGAGCTTCGGGGGGGCGGAATGACGTGGGAAGATATCAGCGAGAAACTTCCCGGGCGAAGTGCAATGAGCTGTCGCCTGCACTACCAGAATTACCTCGAGAGGCGGGGTGAGTGGAGAGAGGATCTCAAGACCAAGCTAACATTGTTATATGAAAGGTAAAAATGGTGTGATATCTGATGATAACCGGCTAGCTTACTGACAGAGCAAGCAGATTCAAGTCGGAAATGTGGGCGAAAATTGCAGAGGAGATGGCCATGCCCTGGAGGGCCGCTGAGGCTATGCATTGGCAGCTCGGAGAACAAGAAATGGCGAGACGAGCTGGAACAGTTCCGTTCTCATTCTCGCAGCCCACATCAGAACCTCTCCAAGCATCACGCACAGTTTCCGTTCGGCTCCCTTCCCTTGCAGAGTTCGACGCCGGAGTCCCAGCATATAGAAGTGATCCACCAAATTCCACAGAATTGAACTGGAGCCACGCAGATACTCTCCCAACGACGGGTCCTTCAGCGGGGAATTAAACATGGATGGCGTGATTATCACCGCAGTGGCTTAATACCAATAATAGCCATACCACTGGGGGTTCGATACCGCAGCGCTCGATGTATGTCTCTGGACAGGTGTCCAAGGCTAATCAGACGATGGTTATAGTTCCGGGGTATGTTGATGGGCTGTATTTATTCTTGGGCCCCACTGTGGGAGACCGGTTTGTATGGATCTCCCCGGCGTCCATGTTCGTGGTAATTGTATCTGATGATGATGCTGCCTGTTATAGTGCTGAATCTTGATTAGTTGTATTCTGGTGCAGGGCCTGCCTTGTTTGATTTTCTGTCTTGTGTTCCTCTTGGAAAGTTTAATAATATGAAAGTTGGTTAAAACTTGCAAACATCTTTAGCCTATTGGCAGATGCCACAGAAACCACTGTAGTGAGAGTAGAAAAAGAGGCTACATAGGACCCTGGGGGAGGACGGGCAGCTTTATGGAAGATCCAGGTGGACTCGGGGGTGAGTGAAAGTGAGCATGGGTGAGTGAAGATCGGGGGGCGTGAGGGAGGGTGAATGGGGAGCGCAAAATGGAGCAGCAAACTTATACTGAAGTATGTTAACCAACACAAAATGATACTGGACCGAGACACCGTTCAAGAAGAGAAGCACGAGAACCGTGGGAAAGCGGCAACGACGTCATTGAAGCATGGGAGATGAAAGTATACGGCAACCAGAGATGAATTACTAAAGGTAGGTGCAGGGTCTAACTGAGTTCCAAGGTCAACGGTGAAAGTGATTAAAAGTAAATCAAAGTAGGGTGTCTTTCTGGCCCTGCGCATCTCTGTCAGAGAATGGTTTTTTGTCAGACCACAAAATGGGTAACCTCAATGGGCTTGCCGTCTGGCGGTTTCCGCTCCCTTTGCGGAAGAGTGACCGGTTAGACACCGTTATCTAAACCCTTAACGATATTGATGTTTAGCAAAGAAAACGAAGCAACTGCAAGAAACAAGAAGCAAATTCCTGTTTTACATCTATATGTTAAAATTATGACTATAGATACCAATATTTGTATCTCTCAGGGCATCAATTAAATTTTATGTAAACTTGGAATTTTCCGATCTTTATTTGTTGTTCTTGGGGCATTTCTCCCCAAAGTACTGGCATTTACAACTAAATCTTTCACTGGGGCGTTTTCTTTCCGTGCTCCACAACAATAAATTTACGTATCCCCAGGGCTTTTTGCCTTCTTACGGCATTCTTCTTCTGCTGACTGTGTTCGATTGGCCACGACTTTGGTGTAGCTCCCAGGGACATATGATTTCCCAGGGATTGAGCTGCCACAAGCTCAGAAATCAGCGTTCTTGCGGCATGACAGAATTTCAAGGCATCTTTAGTTCTCAGAATGCCCCTTAAGCTTGAGGGAGACCACACGTTAAATCAGATGTCATGATTTTTGAGACATTCTATAATCTCAAGGCATTTTTAGTTCTCAGAAGACTGTTTGAACCTGAGAGAGATCACATTCTCAGAACGCTCTTCAATCCTGAGGAGGACCACACTTTTAAACCCGAATGTCATGATTCTTGAGAGGTTTTAAAATTCTAGGGCATTTTTAGTTCTCAGAATCCTTTTTAAGCCTGAGGAGAACCACGCTTTAAATCTATAATGTCATGATTCTGAAAACTACTTGAGGCCCAACACTGGGCATTAAGCCTCAAGCTATCAGCGGAATCATGACATTATAGGTTTAACGCGTGGTTCTCCTTAGGGTTGAGAAGTGTCCTAGGAATAAGACCTCTCTTAGGTTTAAAAAACATTTCAGGAATCAAAAATGCCACAGGAACTATAAAGTGTCCAAGAATTGGTGGCATACTGAGAAAAAGTGTGGTCTCCCTCAAGCTTGGCCTTTGCCAGAAGGCAAAAAGTATTTTTAAGGAATTTTAATTGGCGCACTTTGAGTAGCTTTCAATCCATTGTCCGCGGGGCGAGGGAAATTCCCATGGCAGTCCACACAATTCTTTTCACAAATCACTTTTTTTTCAATCCGCAAGGCGAACCGAGAAAGTGCCATTGAGTGACACACCCCCGATCGCTTCTCCCGCGTTCGTGGTATGGAACGGAGGGATGCCTTGGAATAGTGGGAATAGTGATAGAGTCAGGTGATATAAGAGATTGTTAGTGGGTACTACGGCTACCCTATCACGTGCCCCCCAACATATTGTATTGCTCTCGCGTAGTTAGTTTAGTAATAACAACGAACGTTATCCTCTATAGATAAATAAACACAGCCGCTTCAAGTTGTAGCTTAGTCATGCCGAGGCCACGCTTCTTTGCAAGATGTATGCTGCGTAAGGCCATCCAGGTTGGTTTCATATCTGAAACTGTCTAAATCTGTTGGCTTACTAAACCGAGCATTTACTACTTCGGGACAGCTGATACAAAAAATTACCTCAAAACTAAGGTCAAAGTATGTTCTTCAAGCGGGTTCGTGAGCATCAGGAGGGAGAGAGGTCTGGGGCAATAGTATCTGAAGTGGAATTTCCAAGTTCTGGAAATGTGTGTGCTGGCCAGGATAGATATAATGAAGAAGAAATAGTAAAGTGAAACGAAGTGGGGAAACCAAACATAGAAAACGAAAGAGGAGAATGAAGAAAATGAAGAGAATGAGACTTCAATTGTTGCATAAATTTAAGCATCTAACTAACTAGAAATAGAAAGGTTTCGTGAGATTGGGCCATCTTGAATCAATGCTGACATCCACGTGACCTCGTTCGACGACATTCGATATTCCAGTAGGCTGCCAGCAGTCCCAACCCTCCATGCTCCTGCAAATCGTCCAATGTCATCTTGGCATACACATTGTAACCCCCGGGAACCCTCTCTATATTTCGTTGAAGGGATGGAATGGCGACAAACGGATCGGAGTCGCTAAGCAGGTTGGGACTCATTGGCCCATCGATGATGATTGGGTCTTCTGCGAGAGTGAGTGAGGCGTGAGAAATGTTTTTCACAGAGCAGGTACTGAGCCTTACCAGCAGAGCCCAAGCACTTCCACGGCTTTCCTTGTGTGCCATATCCGCGTGTTTCTTGTACATCTATCCGCCCTACAATCTGGTACATCTCATCCCCGTCTCGCTTATACACCAGCTTCAGAATCTTCACCTGAGAAAGGGGCAAGATAATGCATTCCTGATTATGCAGCGTCTCCCCCAACGCATCGCCTTCCCAACGGTCGGACACCAGGGGGATAACTTGCTCTGATCGGTCGGCTTGGACGTGGCGTTCCTCGTCCAGGCGTGGATCAGCCTCGATGGAACCATCGGAGTAATTCAACGGCTCCTTCGATGTGTTGCCTTCATGATCTTCTGGGGCCAGGGAAGGGGTTGGCTCTCGTTGATTGGGTGGGTCATCAGCAACGTCGTTCGGGCTTGGGTCCTCGATGGGGTCGTCAGAGAAATCCGACAGTTGGAGTGACGGTGGGGGAACATCGACTTGGGGGGGGGTCGAACAGGATCCATTCGTCCCAGTTAATCTCATCGAGAGCAGTGACGGTGGATGGCAGGGCAGAAAAATCAGCAAATACCTCACTTGCTGCATCCTTAGAGAGGTCGCCAGACGCAGAGAAGAGGGGCACGAGCATGGGCATGGTCATTGGAAGCAGGTGCTGGGGGCTTTTCGTCTTACCAAAGATCAGGAATTGTACGCTTCCAGGAGGTGCACTGTGTTTAGCTGAAGTGAGG